GATCTTTACAATAATCTGAAGTCGCTCTGCCTTCAGGGGGGACAGAAGCAGCTGCTGCTGATCGTCTGCACATGACAGTCTTCATTCAGTAGCTCCATGTTTGTGTCTTCTTCTCGAGGACATCTGGTCACTTTCAGTGCAGCTTCTTTGACGTGTTGCCCAGATGTTTCCCGTCGCTCTGCTCAGTGTCATTGATCTTAATATTGATGTAAAAACAGTGAGAGCTTCTTTTTTATTTATTTTTTTACGAGCCACCATACAGGGAACATCTGTGCCTGCAGGAGAGAAGCACCACGCCCTGATGCTGAATTTTACACCCTAACTCTAATGCTGGCCTGTTAGCTTACACTGGCTGACACAGTGTTAGTCCTGGTGTATCTCACATGAATCTCTGCAACCATTCTGTCAGAGTTTGCTCGTAGTCTTGGTAGACAGAGGAAGTAAAAACGATCACTAAGCCGATGCAAATTAATTCTCACTGAACTGACGTCTAAACTGGAGTTTTCAGGTGTCTTAATCGTTGTGGATTTTACAGATCACTTACATTTTTACGAGGCCTTCAGCATCAACGTGTTAATGTGATTAAGTCCGAAATGAATGCATTCATTTCTTTATCGCATTAATAGCGTTTTGTCTCTTTTGGCACGCTGTTGGTATGAAAAAGAAACAACACTGCTGCACCTTTGAATGGCTCATTTCACTGGAATTAAAAACTGAAAGTAATATCCACATCACCCATTACACAGTTTTTACGGTTCCCTTCAGCTGTTTTCACTTACTTTTTGATCAGAAAAAAACATTTTTTGGTCCTTAAGTTAATAATTTGACTTTAGATCTACCGGAAGTAACTTACAATACAAATACTTACAAAACAATACAAGCAGGTTTGTATTTACTCCAGAACAGGAAGTGAAATACCCATAGCTGTTGTGCAGTTCTTTTATACAGGGCTCGTTTGAGAGTGACAGTCTGTCATGGAGTCTGAAACTCTGAGTTCACTGTTTAACAGACTGAGTGCTGCAGAGAGGAGATTATTTCATCAGAGCAGATAAATAACTGGGTAGGAGCATCATTAAAAACCCATCAGCCAGCACTGTGTGTGTGTGTGTGTGTGTGTGTGTGTGTGTGAACGAGCGTTTGTGTGTGTGTGCATGTGTGTGTGTGTGTGTGTGTGTGCATTTGTGTGTGCATGTTTGTGTGTGTGTGCATGTTTGTGTGTGTGTGCATGTTTGTGTGTGTATGTGTGTGTGAGCGTTTGTGTGTGTGTGCATGTTTGTGTGTGTATGTGTGTGTGAGCGTTTGTGTGTGTGTGCATGTTTGTGTGTGTGTGTGTGTGAGCGTTTGTGTGTGTGTGCATGTGTGTGCGTGTGTGTGTGGGTGTATGTGTGTGTGTGAGCGTTTGTGTGTGTGCATGTTTGTATGTGTGTGTGTGTGAGCGTTTGTGTGTGTGTGCATGTGTGTGCGTATGTGTGCGTGCGTGTGTGTTTGTGTGTGTGTGTGAGCGAGCGTTTGTGTGTGTGTGTGAGCGAGCGTTTGTGTGTGTGTGTGTGTTTGTGAGCATTTGTGTGTGTGCATGTTTGTGTGCGTGTGTGTGTGTGTGTATGTGTGTGTGTGAGCGTTTGTGTGTGTGCGTGCATGTTTGTATGTGTGTGAGCGTTTGTGTGTGTGTGTGTATGTGTGTGTGTGAGCGTTTGTGTGTGTGCGTGCATGTTTGTATGTGTGTGAGCGTTTGTGTGTGTGTGTGCATGTGTGTGCGTTTGTGTGCGTATGTGTGTGTGTGCGTGTGTGTGCGTTTGTGTGCGTATGTGTGTGTGCATGTGTGTGCGTTTGTGTGCGTATGTGTGTGTGTGCATGTGTGTGCGTTTGTGTGCGTATGTGTGTGTGTGTGCGTGCGTGCGTGTGCGTGCGTGTGTGTGCGTGTGCGTGTGTGTGTGTGTGCGCGTGTGTGTGCCTTCAGTTATCAGCCAAACAAATGTGACTATTGTGCTCCATTAATGAGGGTTTCGGGGAATAATTACAGCGAAATGAGATCGTTTCTGTCTGTTTTCACTTTTCCATCAATTAAAGTTCAGCTGAGAGACACACACACAACACAACTCTGATTTTACAGAAAAGCAAAAACACAAAATATATCAACAACCACTGCTTACATCTCCCTACATCCAGCAGTGAAAGTGCTTTTATATTCTTGCCGGGACTAGCGCTACATTCACGTAGTTCACCTCTCCTTGGCTTCATGCATTCATTAAAAACATTTTTTTTTCAACATTTGAAAACCATTAAAGGCACTGAAAGAAACAAGGAATACTTGACATTTTGTATAGCAAAAGATTTGTTTCAACCTTCTCCAGGCTCATGTGAAAATTGACAAAACTTTCAAAATCCTCACAACTTGTTTTTTTTTTTAATTCCAACAGCTTTATTTAAAACCTGATCAGTTCAGGTCTAGTTGTGGAAAATCGCATGTCCCAGAAATCCCCCTTTTACTGATGTTTAGGAAGTAAAAAAACATGTGCAGTCTCGTACTGTTAAAATGTGTTACAGAGAAATCCCTGATCGTCGACTCACACTCAGCTTGTCTGAGCTGCTGTCTGAGTTGTAGGAATAAAACAGAACGTCATGAAATATCAGAACTTATTCTCCCACACATTTTACTTTACCTCACAGCACTGGATATCAGGCAGCTGCAGCCTGTTTTTAACTGGGTAAATAAATCAATCTGCCTCTTCTTCCTGGAACTTTTGCACTGTATTGTGCTGTTTGTTGAATTAATCAGCTATATTACACATCAGGGTGGCTTTAACCATCGCTTTACAAACTTTGTCAAAAAAATGACCAAGTGAAGTCATACGCTTGAGCTATAAAATATAAAGTAAGTCAGATAGTTCTCTGATTAATCCTGTAAAGGTCTTTATCTGATGCGTCCATGTTGTCATTTATTTGATGAAGCACCCTCAGACGGCGGTGACATTAAAGTCAGAGCGCTGAATAAAGTGAATGGAGATGTCTGCGTGTGGGCCTTACAGGGATTACAGCAGCTTTACCTTCACACAGAATTAACTCAGCGGGATGATGGATGATGTTTGCCGCAGAAGATGAAGGATTTTCATGTTTTTACTCCGATTATGTCGTCTTTTTTTCTGCACCTGTTGATCAGGACAAGCTGGTATACTGTGCAGTCAGTCCCATCAAATATCTCTGTGCTGTAATCCTGTGAAGCCTGAGTCTGTCCCCCTTTTTCTCTCTCGGTCACTTACTGATAGGGAGTTTAGAATATGAAGTCAGAAATCAAATAAATTAGATTTCAGACACTATTAAGTATTTTCTTGGTGCAGTGTCAGTGATCAGACTCATGCTGTTTTCAGTTTAGGAAAATCAAAAGAAATTCATGATGCTTCAGTGTAAGGTTGTCAATACCTTCAATTCATACTTAATAAGAAAGGTGCACTGGAGAGAAAAAAATCCATCAAAAAGTGTTTCGGTATTGAAATCTTGCCAGTGTATTTGTGCACAGCTGCTGGAGTTTTCCTGCAATTTTTGGTACCGGTAATTAATAACAAGAAATTACCAATTATTATAGGACTTCTATTTTCATGTCAACCTTTCTTCAGTCAATTACAGATTTGTTTAAGATATGCTTCAGTACAAAAACAGTTATTGTTACATAACTGATGGATGATGACGGTCTGAAGCTTTTACTTCATCAGCTCCTTGATGCAAAAAAAAACAAATAAGGACAAAGTCTGGAAGAAGTTCAGGAAGGAACAACCAAGATGAGGGTTCTGTCAGTGTAGTAAAAACAGGCCCCAACAGCACAACAGTATAATTTGTTTGTAGTTTTTCAATCTTAGACAATTTTCAAATGCACAAAACAAATCTTATTGTCAGACTTCTCCACTAATTCAACAGTCAAAGCAATAATTCTACAACTCATTTAGCAGACGCTTTTATCCAATCGACTTTCAGGTGTGTTCCAACAAGTATGCACAGGCTCAAGGTTGTCCCATTCATTGTCGAGTCTTTGAATTCATGGTAATCTCTAAAACACCAGAGCACCTCTGCAGGGGTTTTCCAGGGAAGATTAGGATTGTGCCTGACAATGACAGAGCAAACTGTGAGCCTAAATCCACCGGAAGGCGTTCTGGGCTGGATTGTTAGAGAGAATCTGTTTCGATAAGGCAAGACCAGCAGGTCAATCTGTGTCCGTCAGGAAGGTAATCCTCATCATGACGGACTCAGGAGTCCATTAGGAAAAAAAGATCAAATCAAACAAGATAAAAATGTAAAAACAAACATGGTAAAAAGACAAAAAAACAGACAGAACACCGCCGATATAAAGTCAGGGATCTTATTCCACAGGGCTGTCAGCATCAGAGTGTTAATTGAGGTGTGTTTAAGGTCTGAAATGAATGCATCAATTCTTTTTAATCTCATTAATCGTGATCCATTCTGTCCCTTTCAGTGCACCTTAGTTAATCCACCGTAGCGTCTCTCTGCAGGCTTGCAGCCAGTGATGGAAATAAACATCACGGCGCCTTTGAATGGCTCCGAGTTGACCTTGTGACATCATACATTTCACTTATTTACCGTTCCTTTGAGCTGTTCTCATTCACTTTTCAATGAGCAGTGAGAAATCAATGTGGTCTTGTGAATATACGATGCTGTATTGAGTTTTTTTTTTTTTTTTTTGCACAGCCCTGCTTACAATGGAACTGCACAGAAAAGGAAGTCTTTTATTTTGAGCTGCTTGCTACATCAAAACTACCAAAAAGTTAGTCGCTGCTATCGGAGGCGTTTTCAATCTCTTTTCAAATACTGTAGAGTTTATGAGGGCTCTCTCATGGAGTCCTTCAGGGATAATGGTAACTTTTTGAAAGGCTGCATTTCTGAAAGCTCTTCTTGAGCATAATAACTCGCAGTCAAATAAGAGTTATGTGAATCAACAGTCCAATTATTAGAGAAAGTGTTCACTGACCTCCTCCTCTTCTCTCTGTCTGCAGGAGATGTGGTGGATATCTACCAGCGGGAGTTCCTAGCGTTGAGGGAGCGCCTCCACTCGGCCGAGCAGGAGAACCTGCGTCGCTCCAAAGAGCTGAACCTGGTCTTGGAGGAGATCAAGAGGGCCATCGCTGAGAAACAGGCGCTGAGGGACATCAACCGCACCTGGAGCAGCCTCTCAGGTCAGTGAACACCTAATTTAGCCTGCTGTAGAGTGGAATAGTCTGGTCTAGTCTAAGTCTTGGTTAGGGTTGTCACAATACCAGAATGGGCAACTTTTTTTGCGCAATTTAAACAAATAGTGTGCAGGAGCCATTTTTTGATGTATTCATTCTTCTCCAATGCCACTGTCTTATTTAAGATTCAAAAAACTTTATTGTCTATCACATTGTGGCAGAAAATTACCTTTTTGTTGAGGCTCATGAACATGAAAACACACAAACATTCATACTAACACTCACATTAGGTCATAAATAGCTAAAAGTATCCTAAATAGGTAAAAAAAAACATATGCACAGCATTTAAAAAATGCTTATCTAGTTGTTTAAAATGCGTATTGCAGTGGGAATAAAAGAGTTTCTGCAAGTTTTCTTTTTCGCCAGTGGTACTCTGAAACGACTGCCTGAGGGGAGCAGCTGAAACGAGTGGTGAAGGGGGTGTGAAGGGTCCTGAGTGATGCAGCCTGCTTTCCTTTTGTGCTGCTCGCATGTAAAGTTCTGACAGTTGGAACTGTGATGATACCAGTACGTTTTTTCTTGCATTTTCGGTGAGATATCAAATAGATGTTGTTGTTTTTTGAAGTTTCTGTACTTTTTCTGTACTTTTTGTAAGTATTTTTACTTTTCATTTATATGACAGAGGTCGCATTGGTTTGAAACAAGTGATATTAAAACGTATCCAAATTCTGACAACCTGAAATAGCTGTCCGACTTTCTTTAATCTCCTCAGTGGGGTTCAGAAGAAATCTAAACGGGTCTGAACTCTAGTATAGTTTACCTGGTTTTACCTGGTTTCATTTATTCTGGGCAAGTTTTGTATTCTAATGTCTAAAGTGGTCTAATGTAGTGGTCCTTCCTGCCTCGTCTAATCTGGACTACCTGGGAATCTTTATTTTGACATAAAAATGTAGAAGATGTACACACAGTGCTCGACTTAGCAGTAGTAGGTTTGTAGTCCAAGCTATATTGGTCAATCACTTATCAGCAGGCTTTGTTGTATGCAGGAAAAACAGTCTGAATTGAGAGCAAAAACAGGCAGAAAGCAATCTTTGGTAGCGATGTCCTGACTCCAATCAGCAGTAATCAAGAAGTATGCATCTCTTTATACAGATATCTGCATGTGAGCTGCTCACAATATGTTCTACATAAAACATTTGAACTATACTGACAAATCTGCTTGACGCTGTGTCACTAAAGCCAATCAGCGTTTCAGATTTCCCGATTTCCTTGAATGCATCAGAAGTTATCGTTCTGACCTTCATTCAACAAACAATTCTCCTCTTGAGGAAAGTCCTGACCAAGCTGAGTTTTCACTTTTTATAAATCTGCATCATGATGTTGTTACATCAGCAGACCTAAGAGCCGTTGATGTTCTCCTCTGGGGGATGTAATGAAAATGACAGCGTTTGCTTTGCACATGTATCTGGAGGGGAGAATTTCACTTTATTTCGATGTGAGCACACAACTTCTTAAGTTGCTGACTGGGCTCTAAACAATGAAGTGCATAGAAAAGAATGCACTGAAATAACTTTGGCATCCACTCCGAGAGGCAAATATCATCATCAGAGGTTGACTGCTGATTGGACCGACAGCAGATCTCATGTTATTTTAACTTTTTTAGAGGAGGGTGACTTTAACCTGGTCTGGTCTAAACTAGTCTTCTGTGATATAAACTGGAAAGACTTTGTCTCAGCTGTTAGAATCCAGTTCATATTGGTCTACACCAGGTCAAAACTGGACTGCTCAAGTCTAGATCTAACCTGTTCTGGTCTGATTTGGTCCAATATGTTCTAACCTGACCTTGTCTTGCCTGGTCTAACTTTGGGTTTGTTCTAATATGATTTAATAGGACTTGGTTTAACATGTTCTGGATTGATATATTCCAGTCTCAGCTGGTCTCACTTTGTCTAAACTGTTCTTATCTTGTCTAACCTGGTCTCTGCTGGTCGAATCATTCTTTGAGTTTTATTTTTAGAGGAGATAAGGCTGGTGTAGTATAATTCAGCCTGAACTGATTTATCTGACTCTAATCTCTTCAAACTTAGTTTTACCTGGTCTCACCTAGTCTTAGCTGGTCTAAATTGGTCTTGCCTGCTCTCTTTTTATCTTTTCTGAAGGGAAAGTCCTGGATCTAACCTGGTTTGGTCCTATTAGGTTGTCAAAATCTTTAATACGTTGATACTCTTCAAAACCACATGCTTACCAACTATACATTCTCAGTATCCAAAAGTCCCTAAAATAAAAAAAAATCTTCAGAGTTCATTCATATTTTAACAAAGGTCCCCTTAAAGAAGGAGATAACAAAGTCTAAATTACACAAATTCAAAACCAAAATATTGGCAACATATTTTTACAATCCAGTGTGCAGGAGTTTGCCTGCAATTTATGGCGATTAAAAACAAGAAATATCCCAATATTGGGTATCTGGGTCTTCTACTTTTGTTGCTATGGTATCGAAACAGATATCTAGATGATTTTTTTTTAGCAGAACCATGTCAAAGTTTACAATTCTGGTATTATAACACTCCTTATTAGTCCAATATTGTCAAAATGTTCTAATCATGTCATATGGTATCACCTAATCCGCTCTAACCTTCTCGGTTCTATTCCTCTTAGTCTCTTTTGGTCTTGTGTGACCTGATTTAACTGAGTCTCACCTGGTCCGTACTGATCATATCCTGTTGAACCTTTCACCTGGTCTGATGACTTCTAACAAGGTCTCACCTGCTCTCATGTCTTATTTCAGAGGAGACAAGGCTGAAGTTGTGGAATGTGAGCAGCAGTAAAAACGTGCTGCAGCTTCCCTCCATCTTCCATCACCTTCCTCACCTGCTGAACCGCGAGGACAGCCTGCTGCCCGCCGTGCACCTGGGACAGGGGCGCACTGGAGGTAAAAACAAACACACTAAAATCCTATACAAATATAACATGATTCAGGCATAACTATTACACACACAAACTCGCCTCCGTTGGTCCAGGCCCGGGGCGCCTCTCAGGTCCTGCAGCCCAGGCACAGTGCATCTCTCCTGGGGAACGAGCTCACTGAGCCCCCCCTGATACACTCACATCCCCTGGAGAGTAAAACAAACAGCTACCACCAAGCAGGCTATAGCAAGGTCACTGAGTGTGTGTGTGTGTGTGTGTGACATTGTGTGTGTGTGTGTGTGTGTGTCAGCTCTAATTTATTTATAAAGCATTTTTTCTGCTTAGTAAACCATTTCCTGACAAGCCTGCTGTATGCACAGAGGGCATAAAAACAGATAAAAACCAGTGAGAACAGGCACATCACAAAGATATTAGTGTGTGTTCAAGTGTGTGTGCAGTCAAATGTATTTATGATGCACTTTGAGTAAAAGAGGTTAGTCAGACTGAAAGTGCTTTATTGTGCAGTGAAGGACGGGGAGATAAAAACAAAGAGAAGAACCACAGCAAGAAATTTATATGTATTTATCTGATTGTGTGTTTTATCAGTGTGTGTGTGTGTGTGTGTGTGACAAATCTGATTTATATGTTAAGTTTTTGAAACTAAACAGGCTCAGCACAAAGTGTTTTTTTCCCCCTGAGCAGTGAGGAGAGAAAAGCAGGTTAAAGGAGACGGAGAGGCTTGTAAATGTACAGATTAAAGTCTACAGGGTGTGTGTGGATGTGTGTTTTCTTTTTCTCATTTGTGTGTGTTTGCATTCATTCTGATTTTCTTTGGGCCAACTTTAACAGTTTGACCTCAAATGCAGCTCCATTTGTCCAGCTTGGTTTTGGACAGTTTGTCAAATAATAACTGGATATAATGTGCTAAAAAGTTATTGAATGTCCCTGTAGGAATTTGGTTTGGTGTGCTTTGACGCCCACCGAAGGTCTCTGAGTGCAACTGCACTGTCGCTAAACAGACATAGTGCTGTTAACGCCTCACCCTCTTGACGACGTGCATTTGCTGATAAGTAGAGGGTGGTAAAGCTGGCAAAGCTGTGAGAACCATGTCGACTGACAAGGTACAATTACCAGATTTTGTGTAAAACATGATTCTGCTTGCCTCTTAAAGGCAAGGCAAGTTTATTTCTACAGCACATTTCAACAACAAGGCAATTCAAAGTGCTTCACACAAAGACATCGAAAGCATCATGACAGAGGAAAGAAAATAAACATTAAAATAGAACATTTAAAAATCACTGAAATTATTCAATTGGAACATATGTTCAAATAAAAATAATTCAAATGAAATTAATTGAAATAAATAAAGTAAAAATACAAAAAGGCATCTTGTTGCTGATTAGCTTTAGCTGTGTACAGCGTTTCAAAGTACTGCAGCACAGGCCTGTGCTCTTGTCAGGCCACGGTCGTGTAGCGATGCATCATGCAGAGGTTAAAAAAAAATGTTAAAAATATGGCTGAAGACCTCCTGTATCTATCAAAAATACAGTCCTGAGGATTTGGAAATGTCCAGGACCAGCTGATGATTAAATTAGGTTTAGAAAAAAGAAGATATAAAGAATGTAAGCAAAGTAGAGAGCAAGAAGAATAGCGTCTGCACTGTAAGAAAGCAGGAAGCTTCAGCCTGTTGTTTGCATGTGGATTATGTTTCTATCATTCACCTATCAATTCATCATTCAATCTTTATTTGTATAGTGCCAATTCTTCCAATGCTTGGTCGCGCTCTCTTTTTATCCACGGCTTTATCCATCACTGTCCTCTTATGTCTCTTCGCCGTGGTCATTTTATCAAACCGTACAGAGATGGATTAACTGGTGTCTTTTTATAACTGAAAGCTTGTGTGTGAATTAGTGCTGTAAAGCTGTAGGCTGTAGACCGACAATGGCCTGCTGTAGTCTGCTGCCATAGTTACATAGTGCACAGTAGTAACCATGTGATTGGGGCACTCTGTGGAAATGGGAGACATGAGGTTCTCCCTGTTAAAAGTTATCGTGTACAACTGGATCGATCTTCAAAACTATTTCCACTAAAGGTTGTTTTTGTCTCTGCGGGCTCAGATTGTTATTCTAAGTGTCTGACAACATTAGAGAAAGGATCCCTGCAGAGATGTGAAGTAGGGCTCAATAAATAACCAAATCACTGCAGAGGACTTTCCCGTATGCATCACCAGCTGTCCCCGCCCTTACCCTTTCGTTTCTGAGGGACACCCTTGTCACCTAGCAACCACAATACCCTGATTATTATCTCCCAACACTTCATTGACAAATGTATTCATGAAGCGCAGACCACTGTTCTTAATCATCATGAATGAGCTAACAATCTGCCATTAAACACTGAAATGTGTTCAAACTTAACAAGTCATTGTGGTTTACCAAGCTATACATATCTTGATTCCTGATTAGACACATTACTTATTTTTTTTTTTTTGCTTTTCATTTTAATACCTTCATTTTGTTCTGTTTTTTTTTTTTTTTCCTGTAAGTGGCTCATGCTTACTATCTAAGTGTGTTCTATATTCCATTTTGTAATTGTAACGTCAGACTCTTAAATTAAGCTTTACAAAAATGGGCACGTGAAGGATCAATGAATGGAGACGTGTGGCCACAAAGGACGCACCGGACGGTTCCTTTGTTTGCAAGAAGAAGGACACATCGGCCTGCTGCGTTTGAAGGAGCCTTTGAAATGGTTACAGCCTTCGACACACCGCTGTGATGTAATTAGACTTCAAATGTGCACTCTGAAAGCTGCAGCCCCTGTTTTGGGACATAACCTACAAATAACAATCTGAGCCTGTCAGTGACATAAACAACCAGCTTTTGTTGTGTACACACTTTGATCCATCGAGGGTTATGTTGCAGACATTACAGCCTGTTTCACTGCTGCAGGATAGACTAACCTACTGGAGACATTCTGCAACATTTCATTCCTGTTAAGTCATCTAGATCCTATGAATTATGCCAAAATGTACTTTAAAAGGTTATTGACAGACTTTGACCTCCTGTTTGTTTCTTGATATGTCGACAGTCTTGGTTAATCTCTTTCATCTGTTGACTTTATTTGACAATGAGCAAAAGCACATCTGTTGTTTTCCTTCTTCAAGCGTTTGTCACCGTTTGTCTTCTTCTGTTGTTTTCTCTGCAGATTCTACTCCATCTGTTCCTGCTTCAAATCATTAACGCCCAGGCTTTTTAAAGTCACCTAAAAGTTAAGCTCTCCTCTTTTTTTTTTGTTTTTTGTGCATGTGCGTTTGTGTGTGCAGTGTCCATAGTGATGGGGGTCCCAAGTGTGAAGAGGGAGGTTCACTCTTACCTGACCGACACGCTGACGTCTCTGATGTCGGAGCTAAGCGCGGCCGAGAAGGAGGACTGCGTCATCGTGGTCCTCATCGCTGAGGTCAGTCAGTGTGTGCGTGTGTTTAAATGTGTTTGTGTGTGAATGATTGGCCGTTAGTGCGAGTGTGTGTTGATGCGTGTGCCTCCTCGAATGATTTCTAAAGGTCAGTGGTCCAGCTAATGAACCGTGGCAATCTGAGTGATAATGTCTTTAGCGACCATGCTAATGCTAACCTCAGACCGCTGCAGTGACGCAAGGATGACATGTGTGTGTGTGTGTGTGTGTGTGTGTGTGTGTGTGTGCTCATAAAAATCTGTGACGTAACATTAGTGTGAAGTGCAAGCTCCCATTTGCATCACATCAGCTTTTCTGTGTGTGTGTGTGTGTGTGTGTGTGTGTGTGTGTGTGTGTTTGTAGTCAAAGTGATGAAGTTGCACTCTGACCTATTTGTGCTGTAGCGTCTAATCTGCTGTTCAAACTTTGAATCTCGTTTACAACATCTTATTTTCATATTAAATCAAAGGTGAAGATTCAAACCGACAACATGTGGGTGCGTATTTAAATAGTGTCTGACTTTTCTGTACCTCTGAGCTCAAAGCCCACAGTTCAGACGTTATCTATATCGTACAAATATATCGTTCATGTTTGGAAGGGACTGATTTACAAAAAGGATTGCACAGCTTTTGCACCCACTAAACCCGTGCAATGACTCAAAAATATTCACAAAACACACAAAGGGTTAAATGCTGCCCTTACTGAGCAAACAGTGTCTCTGTGCACCGGTGCTATATGTGTGTATTTAAATGAACCATTGTGCAGTAATTTGGGGGAAGATCATTCCTTTTCTATGCAAATCAGCCTCAGTGCAAATAGCTTTGAATTTACAAACATCGGTGCTAACAGCCGGGTACAGTTAGAGTGAAAAAATTACCGTCTGCTGAGAGTTGCAGTATTTCTAAGGGATGTCATGCTCAGGATAACAATTCCAGCTTTGTATGACTTAAAGATAAATGATCTGTAATATAATCTGTAAATAGAATTTTGACATTGCAATTTTTAGTCAGTCCTGGGCTGTCAGCGGCTCCACACCTCATCCACATGTGTGGAGACGGTCCGGAGCCGTTACCATGACAAGAACGTGAGTGTTTCTTTGGTGAGTTTTTCTCGAGTGGTCCTTTCTTGATTCATTCAGGGAGGAAGCTTTGTTTTAAACGGTGAAACGCTTATCACATTTCCAGGGACTGGCCTCTCAATAAAGTTGAAAAATGTTCCCCTCCCTTCCGAGCTCATCATCTTTATGTGGACAGAATTACACTCTTTCAGTTCCAGCGTGAAGCTCTGTGCAGACAGGTTCAAATAGCTTCTCTCCAAATTCAAGAGCAAACTGCATGGAGCAGGACAACCTTTTGGGCGTGTTTGTGCCTGAATATCATAAACGCTTTATGCTTTGTGAATTAGACCTTGAGACAAATCTTACTGAGCCAAAATGATGCAAATATTAACAGAACATTTTTACATGCAGCAACTCAAATCTCACCAAGTGTATCTGCTGATGTCTTGTGAAATACCTCATTACACTTATAAAAGCAACAATCACCTGATAAGTCCAGATAAACATCTTATTTCAAGATATTAGAAGCAAAACAATAAGGCTTGGAATGTTTGTGATGAGTAAAAAATATCTACCAATGCAGCAAAAATTTTTAATTTTCTTGAAATTAGATGTTATGTCTTATTTCAACAAACATATTAACAAGCAAAGGGCAGGGGAATGTGGCTTGTGTTAAGTTGAAGACATATTTTTGACTGGAAATGAGACAAATACACATGGTTATGATTTGAGTCATTGCAGTGTGGAAACATGTATTTGAAAACATTTTCCTTTTGAAGCATGAGTAAAAGCATCACGAGTCTTAAAGATGATTACAAAGTGAAGAACTCAAACAAAACCTCCAGATAAAATATTTATATATGCTCTAGATATGGTCCAAATCTCACATCCAAATGTGTTTGAATTCATCCTTAGCATTGCTCGGTCCAGACTCTGCAGGCTGCCTGGAACAACAAGTCAATTTAAGTGATTTATGCTGCACACATGTTACATGTAAGAGATCAAGCACTGTGGAGCCTGCAGGACTTTACATGTTTATCACAGCAACTCTGATTCTGGTAGAAAGATTTGATTGAAAATGAATATTGATCTGGAGCAAAATAAGGATGCTCCCACCTGTGACTCAAAGAGGCCACGCCCCTAACCCTACATCACTTAAAGTCTTAATATAATTCAAACAGTACAGTTGTCATGAAGAAAGAAATGAGCCCAAGAGACCCAAACTGTACCAGGCTGTAAACATGTTATGTCTGCTGTAAAGTTGGACATTTTAACACAGGGCTCTATGGGGACTGACTCACTGCAGGAGACAGCCTCTAGTGGACACCTGAGGAACTGCAGATAATTGTATGAATGAAAAATAAATTATTATATCGACATATTTGGGTAGTTTAGCAGATAAAAAAACCCTTAACCTTAAAATGACTAAAGCCTTCAGATTCAGTTTTAGTCTGTGTTGTTTTAAATAAAATGTATTGAATCATGTATCTTTTATCAAATCATAGGCATGATACTGTAAATGTTCTTCAGGTAGCAGCTGATCCCAGAACTGCTCCTGTGGGATATAAATCATGTGTCTTGGATGTACTGAGCAACGTCACGAGCTCCTCGGTCATGTAAAATTCATGTTACACATCCCTCCACTTTAAAAGCTTTAAGTGCTTTCGTGGCTCGTTGTTCATGTGCAGAAACAAACCCCGAGAGACGCAGAGCGATGAGTCTATCCTGAAGTCCGCTCAGATCTTCCAACATGTTGGAGAGAAACAGGAACTGAGCTGTTTGAACTTCTGTCAGCAAGGAAATAAAATCCAAACTGTGATGATGACTGGGAGATTAAAAACAAAAACCCAGAGAGGATCTTGAATATTATATCAGCCTGGAGGTAAAAGAAAACAGAGAAAGCTGTAAAAAAAATAAAAAATAGACAAATCAGGACACAGTTGAAAACAAACGCAGAGAGCAGAAGAACAAGGAAAATATTGGAGGGAAATCCTTGAATCTGAGACATGCCTCTGGTCCAGATAAAAAATGTCTCACTGATGCTGCTTCTTACAGGAAAACTGTGTCTTCATTAACACATTCTCCAAGTTAACAAAAAGTAAATACATAGATTCCAACAAGAGGTTCAAAACAAAGTGGTCAAGTTAGTATCAAAAAAATCCTACTTCATAAAAAATTAAGACTGTCAAATGATTATTTGTAAAACTGCAATTAATTGCTAAATTTAAATAGTTAATCATGATTGAAATTCAATTGTTTTGCATTTTAAAACATTCATTTAATGCTTTTATTTGAGTTTTTTTTGTACTGTAGGATCGACCAGAACTTTACTTCCCTTCTTTGATACCAACCTGCTTTTATATAATAAAAGAAACTTCCTGAAGATCGAAGGTTACAACATTAACTTAAACAGGCATAGTGGAACTTTTAAAACACATCCAAAAGTTAATGAAAATAGCTCCAGGGAACAATAAAAAAATAAAATGTTTGATGTCATGAGGTTGATATTAGTTTTGACCTATTAACTGTCTGTCTTGGAATTTTTGGGGGGCTTATATCTTTATTGTGGAGACAAGTGGATAGTAGATGTGGGGGAAAACAATCGTTTTGTGTAAAAATTGAGATGCTTATCTTTAGAGATTTTAGATTAGATTAGATTAGATGATACTTTATTGTCAGATGTAGTCTGAAATTTGCTATGCATCACAGCGGCTCCATTTGCAGCACAAAAATTAAGACAAAAACAAAGATACAAACATTTGACACAACACTCAAACACAACACTCACTTTAAAGTGCTAAGGCTAGCTCTTTAACTCAGTAGAATGCTAAATGGAGCAACAAGAAATTCATTCAGTCTCACAGATGACTGGAGTAGATCTAATGTATGTAGTATGTAGTAGTATGTACGAATAAAATGTACTCATAAATAGACTTTGAATCGATGGATCAATGAATACAGAATCCTTTTGAATCGAAAATCAATTTTGAATCAAATCGTGACCCCAAGTATCGAAATCGAATTGTGAGACACCTAAAGATTCCCAGCCCTAGTGGATAGCAGTATAAATAGTGGGCGAGAGAGAGATTGAGGATTGACGGGTCGGATTTCAGAAATCATCTTCTTTAACATAAAGCTCTATCTCTGAAGGGATGTTTTCTGTCAGAATAACAATCTGAGTCTGTTATTAACAAAAACAACAACTGTTAGTGGAAACACTTTGATCCTTCAAGAATTACGTTGAAGACATCACTGCCTGTTTCACTTCTTTAGGATGAAGTCATCTACGGAACTTTTCTACCTTTTAGTCTTTTAGAAACTGAAATATTTAAACTTTTAGCTCAGGTATAAAAGCACAGAGTTTTTTTTCTTGAGATGGAAGATTTCAGCTTCCATCACAGGCTAAAAGGATTTTTTTGAGGACCAAACTTGCACAGGGGGACACTATTGGTTGACCACTGACCCAAATGGGAAAAGAAACTGGCAAACAGAGTGCAGCAGCTTACTGGGGTTCTTTGTCAGTCTGGTGGCTCTGCCAACAAACTGAAACAAACTCCTGCAGCTCGACTCCAAACACCCCCCCCCCCCCCCCCATGTGTAAACTTTTACTTCCAACGACCTGTCTAGATCTTGTTTTGGGCCGCCATGAATCCTCAGAGCTGCTTCAGGGGCTTTGAATGCAGATAGAAGCGTCTTTTTGTGTTAAAATGTGCAAATAAGAAGTGTCACATCCACAGCTTTCAGTGTTCGCATCTTAAATTTTTGAGGCTCACGGAGCGAGGATGCTTCAGTAAATATTGGCAGTTTAAAGTGAGAATCCTCCTCAGCGAGCAGCTCTAAGCTGCGTCTGTTCCTTGTTAACTTTGAGCTTTAAGCTCCACCCAGCTGGCACCTCCAGGACACCAAAACAAACCACAAACTCTCTGCAGAGACCCGCCAGGCTGCAGCTCTGCTCGGCTGCTGGAAACTTGAGAGTGCGCTTATGTGTGTCTGTGTGTTCCTGCGACAGCACAGCAACCTTCACAGCCAGATGATGAAGTCTACAGGGAGCTCATCTGAGCCCTGATTGGCTGAGCTTGAGGCTGAACGATGATGTCAAAGATTGCTCAAGTTATTGTTGATGTTCGATTTGGGAGTAATTGTGCGTATGCGTGTAATGTTTTGTTGCAGAAAAGCATAAAAATATTCAGATGATGTCAGTCTGCTGTGTGTGTGTATCTGTGTTTCTGTGTGAGTGTGTGCGTGAAGGGACTGTAATGAAGACAGATGAGTGGACCCTCCCTTCTCTCAAAAATAGAAAACATGCCTCTTGTTGCCTCTGCCGTCTGTTTCTCAGGAAACAAGCGACAAATGGGCTCACGAGAAGAATTTATCCTCACATCCAACAAAATGCATTTTTATTACAAACTACATCCACCATAAGGATCACAAAGTCAAATCCTTTCTTAAGCAGTTCTGATGAATTATAACCAGAAGGATGGAAGGATTTATTGCATGGCTGTTGTATTGGATCCTTAGATAAGGGATCAACTGCCAGCTGGATGATTTTGTCATATTTCAGGGTTAAATAGTGCAGCTGTGTTTAGATAAACAAAATTAAGAAAGTCTGTAAACTTTAGGGCTCCAGGAAAACAATTAAATCAAAATGTAGGGTAAAATCAAGGCTTTATTGAATACTCAGTATACATATATAGTTTATAAGAATATTTAAGTCTTAAGTCTTAAGCTTTTTTGCATGATGTTCTACTCAGTTTTTCAGTTTTTGTCATTTTCATCCCTAGCTCTTCATTTGAATTAGATATAAAAAAAAAAAAGTTTTTAAAATGAAATTAGAATAAAAAGAATTGGAAAGAAAAACAGAGTTTTGAGGTTAATGTCTTTGATGAACCAAACCAGACCTCTCATGGGTGCTCAAACAAAACAAAGTCGTCCCAGCTCTGTGCCGGCGTCACAGAAGTGTTATTGGAGCGATGGGATCACTGCAAAACATCAGACGGAAGGGCAAAACAGCAGTGTGTGTGTGTGTGTGTGGTCAAGTGTGTGTATATATGTGGAGCTCAAGCTGCTTATTTACACCTCGTGTCTCTCATGCTTCTGCAACACCGCAACACAATGTGAAATCACACACTAGGACACCATATTACACAGTTGCAGAATCACGGCACTCTATCAAATTTGCAATCCTTTGTAAGAGCCAAATTCAGCTTTTCTTTTATGCATTGAATTTTTATGTTTTGTGACATACAGTTGGTGTTGCTGTGCTGCTAGAGTTGGGGTATAAGTGACAGGAATGTCACTGTCTAGCTCACTGGCATTTGTTGATGTTGTCTGAAACGCTGAAGAATGTGTCAGCCAGGTTATACCTGGATTTTACAAATCAGTAGCTCAGTACAAGTCTGAGCTTCATAAAGAATGTGCTAGAGTGGTAGTAGAACTCAATGTTACTGTTAGCCTAGAATGTCCTTGGTTTTCGAACACTGTATCAAACAAAAATTGTTATACTGTATGTTCTTCACAAAAAACATGAGCGGGCTAAGTATGGAGCCTTGGGGGACACCAGAAGTCAGATGTGCCACAGAAAAAGATGCATCACCGTAATCTTTCATTAAAGTTATTATTGTCAGGTGATTCTATACACCCTGACTCGCTCCTCTAGCTGAGAGAAATGCTCCTTAAACTTATTTATTTGAATTTTGTTTTTGAGACTTTTTAGATGTCAGAATGAGAACGAGTTTGATTCTAAAACATTTCAGGTTTAGGATAGCTTTACAGGAAAATGTATGTTTAGTCCAGAATATGACTAGCAGAATACGGAGTTGCAGCTTTTTCAAAAAGCACGTCTTGTTCCTGTTGGTAGGGGCAAGACTGCTGATGATGACACAATAACACCTGACACCTGAATGTGTGTGTCTAACATCTTGATTTCTGTGTGTGTGTGTTTTCAGGCTGACCAGCAGTATGCCAGCAGTGTAGCAGACAACCTGAAGCGCATGTAAGTCCACCTGCATGATGGGATGCCGTTTCCATAGCAGCACACCTTAGAGGGATTCTCCACTAGCTGTGTTTGTGTGTGTGTGTGTTTGATGTCCGCTCATAGACGGCAGCCTTTGATCACGCTGTGTGTGAACAGCTGTGTGCATGTGTGTGCATGTGTATGTGTGTGCCATTGTTCAAAGCAGTCAAAGTGCAGCATGATTAATGTATTACACACACACACACACACACACAGACATACAGTACATACACACACAGCCTGAAGGATCAAATGTTTCAGCAGCAGGAGCCTTTCTGTTTAAACATTTTCACACTCAAATATCAAACATGATGTTTCCTACCAGTACCTACACATCCTTCTTCATCTCCTTGTTTTCTTTTCCTTCGTCCTCCTTTTTTAACCCCTCTAGCTGCTTTCTTCCTTTCTTTAACCTTTCATTTTCTATTCCTTCTTTCTTTATTCATTTGCTTTTGTATTTCCTTCTTTATCATCCATGTCTCTTTAACTTTTTCTTCTTTCTAGCCCTTTTTACTCGAGTCGTGATTTGCAAACATCTCACCTTCTTTACATCCTATTCTCTTTCCCTTATCCTGCATGTCCTTTCTACTTCTTTCTTTTTTCGTCCTTTTCTCCTTCCATCTTCTTTCCTTTCCATATATCCTCTCTTTCTGTATGTAAATAATAATCCTGATCATTAAAAGAAACTAACAAACATTTTATTTTTGCTTTAGTTTTCCAGCAGAGATCCAGGCAGGTCTGTTAGAGGTCGTTTCTCCGTCCGTTCACTTCTACCCTGACTTCTCTCGACTGCGAGAGTCCTTCGGAGACCCCAAGGAGAGAGTCAGGTCTGTAATTGTGCATGTGTGTTTGCGTGTGTGTGTGTGTGTGTGTTTGTGTTTGTGTGGGAGTGTGTCTGTGTGTTTTTAAAAAATGTGTGTGTGAGTGTGTGAGAAAACAAGCTCTTGGTTTATTTAACACCGTGCCAGCATTATGACTCAGACTTCTTGGAACAACCTTGCAGCGTGTGTGTGTGTGTGTGTGTGTGTGTGTGTGTGTGTGTGTGTGTGTGTGTGTGTGTGTGTGTGTGTGTGTGTGTGTGTGTGTGTGTGTGTGTGTGTGTGTGTGTGTGTGTGTGTGTGTGTGTGTGTGTGTGTGTGTGTGTGTGTGTGTGTGTGTGTGTGTGTGTGTGTGTGGCTCCAGCACACGAAACTCCTCTTTCATCATATAAGCATTAAGGTCGGTTTTCATAAAAATGTGAATCATCAGGATTACTTTTCTTTCAGCAGCTTTTTGGGAATAACAAACAACTTTTACATCTCACACTTTACTTTCTGTTGTAGGAAACATACAAAATATTTGTCAGACAAATAATCATGCTGATTTCCAGGATTTTTTACAAAAAATATTTAGATTAAAGATTGTTTTTTTTCCCTCTCCGGGATTCGGAGGTATTCAGGTATATAACTTCCTTCTCTATGACAAATTAAAAAATTCTATTTTAGGAAAATGCCATTGTTTCAAATCAGGAAAATGTAGTTAGTATGATCATCAGATAAGCCAGCTTTGACTGTTTAAACATCTCCTGCAGGAATATGCATGAAACATATGAATGCGGCCTTAAAAGAAATCCAAAAACATCAGATACATCAGTCTGCGCTTTCAGTCCTCTACTTTGCTTCACTATAAACTTTTTTAATACAAGATAATCCCAGTCATATCCTGTAGTGAGTAATGATCCATTATTTTCATATCTTGCATGTTTGATATTTGAAAGAAGAATATCTCTGACATTTCTTCTTGTCTGCATAGCTCAACAAGATATTAATCAGTTTAGATTTTAAAACTCCTGCAGTCCCAGCTCTTCTTACGCTGCTATGTTCAGCTGCTTGTGTTTTTCTTACTCTCCGATGTACGTCGATTTGGATAAAAGCGACCTGCTAAAAGAATTGTAGAAGTGTAGTTCACAGGCTTGAAGATATAGAGCAGCATGGGGCAGCAGGGGAATGATGAATTCATGAAATAAACAGTTCAAAATAAACAATAAACAAAAAGCAAAGTTTCCATCAAACTCACAAAGTCTGAAATAGCTGCCAGAAAGGAAATCAACTGATCCAAAAGACCTTCAGACAAGTCGAGTGTGGATGATTTGTAAAACAGACAAAATATGTCAAAGTCATCTCTTTTTTAAACACTTAGAACGATCAAACGCTCAGACAGACAGATGTTAGTCGTCTTTTAAACACAGTTTAAATGCAAACTGAATCATGTCTCTCTCTCAAAGGAGAAATCATTAAACCCATTAAAATGTGTTTTCTGTCAGGACTCAGCAGCAGGTGGAGGACGGTAAACGACTTGCAGAGTCGTGTCCTCGCATATTAAACCTCTCAGCTTAACTCATAAAAACTGAACTGTTGTGTTTGACTGAGGCTCATTAAGTCAAAGAATCACTGCTGAAACAAAGAAACACTTCTGATCCAGGTTTGTTGTGTGATTACCACCAAAAAAGACATCAGACAGTTGGTCAGGTTTGTCTTTGTCAGCAGGATCATTAAAAAAAAACCTGAAGGCCTGATTTTCATCGGACTTGTTGGGAGTGTGCAGCTCGCACCAAAGAAGAACACGTTCAATTTAGGGGCCGATCTGCCTAAATGTAATTATTATTGCTTTTGAAAATGGTACCCAGACTACATAGCACCTGCGTTTGCAGATTTGAGAATCATTAAGGTCCACACCGTTGCCCTGCTTTGAGGTCTTACAGCATTTTCTTATTCAAAATAAAAATGTAATTAAATGTAATAACATTTGTTGAAGCTGGTTTTAGCCTCGCTAAAACAAATGGCATTCATGAGACTGATTATAATTTCTAATTAAAGTCAACTGCTGTTCTTTTCGATTCAATTAATACACTATTGATCCCACACTTTAGCCTGAAGGTTTTGATTAGGGATGTTCCCAGCAGACTAATTGGATAATAGGTTAAACAGAGATTTCAATTCTGTTTAACCGACTAGTCTAAAGGTGAGAAAACAAAACAAAAACAGTCAAAATAAAGCACAGTTTATTGAAACTTGTCAGCGGCTAAGTGGTGTAATTTGGGTTTGCTGAATGTGGCTAACATAGCAGAGCTAGCATAGCCAGCCTTCAGTCCTCCCAGCAGGTAAACATCCACATGGCAAAGCTAAAAGCATCGCTCTGGTCAGTTTGTCCGTTTAACCTGGAACAATATGCATATTTTTATCTGAGTTTTCTAGGTCAAAATGCTGACAAACTGCGCTGCTCCTATGAGATGCTATCCGGTCTTCACTGTGCTTGTTAACATCCAGGATGTAGAGCAGGGAGAGCAGGCCCATTAACCAGAGCTACAGCCAGTCTATGGTACAGCTCCAACAATTGGCTGTGTTGCAGTTTGAGCACAACATTTGAATAAATCAATCACTCAATCTTTATTTGTATAGCGCCAATTCACAACAAATGTTATCTGAAGAGACTTAATACAAAGCAGGTAAAAGACCTTACTCATTGTTATTTTATAAACAAAGAACCAACATGAATCCATCGTGAGCACTAAGCAACATTTAGCAAAGTTACATCAGCAAGAATAAAAGACCTTTCAAGAGGCAGAAACATTTGAATATTAATTGTTTGTTTAACCTACTGATACGGTGCTGAGTTACGAGGGTGATGATGTTAAACTGTTAAGTCGACTGAACGCGCACATCCCGAGTTTTAATCATTATTCTGTGTTGCTTCTTCATTTTTAACGTTTAAAACAACACCAGATTATAAAACTTCCTCCAAAAACATAATAATGATTCACTTCAACAAGTTGTCAGTTTAATGACCGATATTAAAATTGTATTTAATATATTAGCGACAATTTAGTTTGAGTTCGAAACAAGTCAGACTTTTTGATGAAATTCAGCTTAGTTCAGCGTCCTCTTTATGTCACACACATTCAGTTGAAAGAAAACTATGAAAACAAAAATAACTTTGTCCCACAGCAGGTGAGTTTGACTGATCCCCTGCACTGATGTTGTTAAACACAAACTTAGCCTTTTTTCCACTTTAGTGACTTTATCTGCACAGTTTGAAGTTTTGAATGTGAGGTAAACATGTTATATATATATTCCACTCTGAAATGTAAAAGAAAAAGAAAAAAAATACAAAACTACTTTTTGTCTTTTCTTAGCTGTACATTTTTTTTAAAAAGTCATTCCTTATTTGCTCCAAACTTTTGACAGAACTGTTAACTAGTTGGGTCCTTGTGACTGAAATATGACCTCTGTTCATTTTAACTTGAATTGTAAAGGTTGCTGACGTCACTGATGAAGTTTTTAAAGAGAGAAAATGAACAGAGGAGGTTTAAAAGGAGTCACACTGTGGTCACGCTCTGACTGGTTTCATAAAGAAATAAAAGTCTCTTTTTACTGTTACACACTGTGTAATGTGTGTGTGTGTGTGTGTGTGTGTGTGTGTGTGTGTGTGTGTGTGTGTGTGTGTGTGTGTGTGTGTGTGTGTGTGTGTGTGTGTGTGTGTGTGTGTGTGCATGTGTGTGTGTGTGTGTGTGTGTGTGAGAGAGAAACAAGGCTGCTTCTGTGTGAACTTGTGACTGTTTTTCTATAAAACTTTTTTCTTTAGGATTGTTTTTTTGTCGCTGCGGGATATAAAAAGACGATTGACTCTCTGCAGTAAAAACAATCTAAATTGCTGTGTTTTTTTATGTGTGTGTGTGTGTGTGTGTGTGTGTGTGTGTGTGTGTGTATTTATGACACTATAAAGAGGGGGGGAGTTCATGTCTGTAGGGCTGGAGGAGTGAGACGACATGTGTTCATCACATGCTACATAAAACCTTTGAAGAGAGCAGATCTGTTATGTTTGTGTCTCTGTTTAAAGGGTCAAGCTTGAAGCCTGCGGACGTTTTTTATCATATTAACATCATCTCATATAAACAGAACAGACAGTCAGTGTGTATGTTTAAACATCCCCATGTGATGTTTCCTTTTCTGATTCTTTACAACAGCTTTAAATAACACAAATATAACCCACAGTGTCATCATTATAAGTTAAGATCAATAAACTTTATTAATCCCTGGAGGTAAATTCACTCAAACCATCCAGCAGAATATATAAAGACATAAAAGTTTAAAGGTTTAAGACATAAAAGCAGCATTAAAGTGATGAAAGCATCCGCACATTAATGATTCAAACAAAAATCATTTAATACGTGTTAAAAACTTAGATTGGAAAGCGCTTTAAAACGAAGAGACAGCAGGATTTTCAGCATCACACAGAGATGCTTCATTCAAACAGTTTTTCATTCTCAGGTTTTAATCCGTCCAACTCCCCTGAGAGGACATGTACATTTGAACAGGATCAACTATTCGACAGAAAAATGAAACAAGTGAAGAAGAAGAAGAAGAAGAAGAAACAGGGCGACGATGAAAGAGGGAAACATTTAATAAGTGTGTGTATATGTGAACACTAGTGAAAAGATTCTAACACAAAGCACAAGCACAAAGTTGTGCATCTTTATTTTCCCTTTTTGTCATTTTTTGTTCTTCTTAGTCTTTATTTCTCCTTTTTTTTCTTCCTTGTTGTCTCACATCTTCATTATCCTTTTTCTTCTTCTCTTCTTCATCTTTCTTTAACTTCATCCTTGCCTTTGTTTCTTCTTTCTGTCTTTTACTTACAGCCTTCACCACCCCTGTCCTTCTTTATTGTTACTCTTTTTCCTCTCCACTCTTTTTTTCATTTTTTTTATTTTCTTTTTTCTTCCCTGACTTTTGATTTTTTTCTGTTTTCCCAAATATCTTATAATTGAATGTGGCAGAGACATCCGAGTGTTCCCTGGTTTCTCTGTGTGTTTCTGTTTCTGTCCTGATGTTTTAAGAACTATCAGGTTTTCCATGACTCGGTCTGAAGTATCGATGGAAACGTTCAAAGTTAAACCTTTAATCCTTCATGTTAAAAAAGAGCAGATATTGAATCCCCTCGCTGCAGGAACAGTGTGAATACATTCAACATCTCTGCAGAAGTTTCCACTGATGGTGGAGATTTTGTTCCTCTTCTGCATGTAAATACATTCAGTGACGCACTCGAGTGATGAAGATTAGAGGGGAAAGACACCAGCAGCTTATGTCTGTCCAAAATCAAACTCCTATCGTCTTCCTTTTCATGTTACAGCTGCATAAATAAATAAATAAATAAATAAATCTTTTTTCTCTCTTGTCAGAGCTTCTGATCGTCTTAATTAAGTAAAACCTATTATTACATATTGTGTATTTTTTTAAAATGTCAGTAGATGTTGAGGATGTAGAAGACACGACATGGTGAGGGTGATGATGATGATGATAATGATGATGATGATGATGATGAAGGTGTAAAGACGTCAAGATGATAACAGATTCTGAAGCGCTGCGTTGTGATTGGCTGAACAGCTATGTGTTGTTTTTCTAATCTGTCCCCCAGAGAGGCTGAACTGGTGACACTGGGAGGATCAAAATACACACACATCGCATTAACGTGTGTGTGTGTGTGTGTGCGTGTGTGTGTGTGCTTGTGCGTGTGCGTGTGCTTGTGTGTGTGTGTGTGTGATCTCATGGCTCATTGCATCTTCTGTCCCTGAAGCCTTTTTCGGATTTTCCACTGAGCGGCCTGTTATTGTAGCCTTGTGTGTGTGTGTGTGTGTGTGTGTGTGTGTGCGTGTGTGTGTGTGTGTGTGTGTGTGTGTGTGTGTGTGTGTGTGAGCATTTTTTGATAATTTTTGTCTCTCCCTCCCACTCCTCTTCTTCCTCCTCCTTCGTCCTTAATCCTCACTTCCTCCTCAATCCCTTTCATCCTGTTCATCCTCCTCCTCCAACTTTTCTTCTTCCTCCATCTTTTCCACCTCCTTTTTCTCTTCTATCTCCTCCTGCTCTCATTCCTACACCTCCTTTTTCTCTTCTATCTCCTCCTGCTCTCATTCCTACACCTCCTTTTTCTCTTCTATCTCCTCCTGCTCTCACTCCTACACCTCCTTTTTCTCTTCTATCTCCTCCTGCTCTCATTCCTACACCTCCTTTTTCTCTTCTATCTCCTCCTGCTCTCACTCCTACATCTCCTTATTCTCTTCCTTCTTCTCCTTTTCCCCTCCTTCCTCCCCCTCCCCTTCCTCTTTTCTCTACTTTCCTTCTTCTATCTCTCCTTCCCCTACTATTTAACTTTTCCTATTTTCTTTTCCATCTCTTACTCCTTTTCTCTTTTTCTCCCCTCATCCTCCCCTTACTCCATTTTTTTACTTTACTCATCATTTAAACACTCCACACCTCCATTTTCTGTTGTCTTTCTTGTTCTCTTCCTCCCTCTTCATTTTTGTTTTTTGCATCCCCTTCTTTCCCTTTTCCTCTTTCCTCTTCTTCTCTTTCATCTCCTCTACCTCTTCTTGACTCCTACCTCATCCACCTCTTCTCTCTTCTTTTCCTTCTCCTTCCACCCTTTATTCTTCTTCATCTTATACTTATAATTTGTATTTTATATATAACTTTCCTCATCCTTCACCCCTTCCTCTTCCTCCTCCTCTTCCTCCTCCTCTTCCTCCTCCTCCTCTTCCTCCTCCTCCTCCTCTTCCTCAGGTGGAGGACGAAACAGAACCTAGATTACTGTTTCCTGATGATGTACGCTCAGACAAAAGGAACTTATTACGTCCAGGTAAGAAAAACTAAATAAAATCGGTATGAAATGGAATTTAAAAAAAAATGTTTTAATATTTTTTACTTTAACTGGACTGAACAGGTTAAAACAACAATATAAGGATATTTATAAATAAAGAATGAAATATTATTGAACATGTCACTTTCATACTTCAGCGCGTAGATTTCTCTGCTGTCAGTAAACTTTATCGTTAAAAGTTTAGCGGCTTCTCTAAACTTTTTCATCTGGGCTCTGAATGTAATAAATCTGGACGCCCATTAAAATAAATCTGTCTTTGATGAAACTCTGCTGCTGCGGTGGCGCGAAGCTGATGAAACTGTTGCATTGTGGGTAGACTGACGGGGACTTTAATGGAGGTGTCTCTGTGGCTTCGTCTCTCGCTCTTTGTTCCCTCTGAAGATGAAAAGGAGAAGAAGAAACAGGCGGCTGACTTCTGACAAAGGGAAAGTGTTTAAATAGACTCGGCTGCTGAAAACTGCTTCACTTCATAGAACAATGATAGAAATAACAAAACTCACATGTTGACAGACTTTCATCAACTTTCTGTCAAAAAATATCAGATTAAAAAATAAATATTGAAAACAAAACATGAGTCAGCTGCAGCTTGAAGAAGCTTCTCTACTCAAACTTCTTACTAAATTACATCTCTGGGAAATAGAAATGATTTGAAATTGAATGTATTATTCACAACAAAAAAAAAGAAATAAGAAAAAAATTGTTTAGGACTATTTTTCTTCGGCATGTCATTTATTTCTGCAAAGAAAATTATCATCATTAAAGTGCAGGTTAGTATTATCAATTAAAAATGAATATTAAAGAATTAAATAAAAACAAACATTCAAGATAATGGTAGAAGAAAACACTGAAGTTGTCACAAAAATCCTATATCAAGTTTAAATGTGTCTTTAAAATAAAAAATTATATTATAATAAAATGAGATAAATGTTAAATTTACATTAAAAACATTTCTTATTCTACATTTACAGGAAATCATTTGCTCAAAATACATTAAAAAAAAGTTCATGCAGACGGCATGGATACACAGGAATAGAATAATACGCAATGAGAAATAAAATGATTTTAAACTTTACTCATTTTTTATGATTGAATTAATTTGTTGTTGAGTTGTTTAAAAACTTTTTTTGGGAGTTGCTGCAAAGGAATAACTGAAAACAAGAGAATGGAAATAAAGAGGTGAAAAAAGGTTATGGACTGGTGAGATTTCTGCTTGTGATGGAGTCTGAGGTGAATCAAACAGCCAGAGATTTCTCTATTCTCTGACAGGAAACTGGACTTGATTCATTTCCTGCAGATAAATGTTTTTGTCTTTTTTTTGTTTCCTGGCTCTTTTAGTGAAGTGCTGTTGTGATGTGTCCTTGAACTCAGCAGCTCTCCCCGCTCTCCCGTAGCTGATCTGGGTTATTTCCCAGTGATGGAGCGATCTCCTCTCCATCACCGTCCCAGCTGGAGGTGGCGGAGCTTTGGCTTGCTCCCACACTGAGCGTTTTTGACAGGAACACAGAGCCGACGCGCTGTTTTGACACCTAAACTCGCTCTGAACTCTGCAGAGCGAGGTGTACAGTGACAGGTGGGGGAGGAGGAGGAGGGGGCAGGTGGGGGGAGGTAATTACTCCATGTCGACTCCCCCATTACTGAAGCTGAGGGTGTAAACGTCTGTCAGAGAGCTGCACAACAAGTGTGTGTGCTGCAGGACTGATAGCAGGAACAGAAAAGGTCGGCGTAGTGTTATTTGAAAAATAAAATTACCTCAAAGTAAACGTTCTGTTTTTAACGAGGGAGTTCATTAATGAACAAGTCCTCACTCTTTTGTGTAGCTGTGTAAGAAAGTTACTGGGGTTTCACTTCCATTTGAAGTAAAGTTTCTACAGATCGCTGACACCTCTTGCGTTCAACATGTTGAGAGTTTCTAATCTACCACAAACTGGGACAGGATTTTTGGTTTAGTCCTGGACTCAGAGCTCAATATTAAAGAGGATTTACATTATTTTAAACCGGGGCCCTGTTTTCCTACAATTTTTTTTTGTATCCAGATGATTAAAAGATACAAAAAGTGTTGTATTGTTGTATTCAAAGCCCTGAAGCAGCTCTGAAGAGTGATGGCAGCCTCAAACCAGATCAAATCAAGACGGGTCTTTGGAAGTGAAGGTTCACACTTCCAGGCGGGTGCTTTGAGCTGGTTGGTGTTGAGCTGCAGGAATTTTTTCTCAGTTTGTTGGAAAGCGGGGGGGCTCCAAAGACAGAGCCACCAGACTGGAAAAGAACCACAGAAAGCTGCTGCTCTCTGTTTGAAAGCTGTAGTATTTCCTTTTCATAGCCTTTCAAGTAGAAATTTTAAACCAAGGCCGTATTTTTGAGGTCACCGAGGAGAAGTGTGTACGGCTTTACAGCACTCGTTCATACAGCGGCCATGAGCTACAAATCAACCAGTTTGACCGTCTCAGTACTGTTTTAAACAACGTCTGAGGCTAAGTGATGAAGGAGGATGGTCTCCTCGCCTCCCGCTCTTGCATGTTGTCGATGAGAGGGAGGCGCTAACAGCACTATTAGTATCCTAGAGTGCGGTTGCACTCAAAGACCTTCGGTTGGCGCAAAAGCCCACCAAACCAAACTCCTGCATTTTTGTTGTTTAAGATGACTTATAGGTGCACACAAGAGTTTTGGATTTCCTCCAGTAGATTTATTCATCTTGAAGAAGTGAAACAGGCCGTGATGTCTGCAACGTAATCATCGAAGGATCAAAGTGTGTCCTCTAAAAGGCTCAGATTGTTATTCTAAGTGTCCTTACTGAGATGGAGCTTTTTGTTAAAGAGGAAGATGATTTCTTGGAATTATCTGTAATTGCTTTTTTTTATGTCCTCAGGAGGTAAACCTGCCTGTTAGTGTTTAATTAAAGAAGATAACAAACCCATTTGATTTACTGTTAGAGAGAAGACGAGTGAAAAGAAGAGGATTTTAGATGCTCCACTTAAACTTTGATATGCTTGTATTAGTACCTCTACTATACTGCATTGTTTGACTACATCTCTCTCTCTCTCTCTTTCTCTCTCTCTCTCTCTCACAGTTAGAGGACGACATAGTTGCCCGTCCGAACTACTTCACCACCATGAAGAACTTTGCGTTGCAGCAGCCGTCAGAAGAGTGGATGATCCTCGAGTTTTCTCAGCTCGGCTTCATCGGTGAGTTGCTGACAGTTTGTTGTCAGTGATAACTACAGCAGTGTCAGTCATATGTGCCCAAAACAAATTGCGAGCATTTTTTTAAATTTAATTGCCAAAGCTAAACTCTTAATGCTCTTTTGCAGTGAAGTTTTATACTGTTTGCTCAATTTGAATACATTTTCGGGGGTGTAAATTATTAGATTGAGCAAGCCAAGCTTCTTTAATATTACCTGAGATGGTCCAGTTGGTTTTATCTGCACAACTCTTCTTCAGATGTGTCTCCAGAGAGCACCCTGAAACTGTGTGCCAACAGTGGTAAAATAAATTAAATGAATATAGTGGTTGCAGCCGCAGGTTGAATGACAAAGTCCAGGTCTGAGATGCATCACCTAATTGAAGGATTAGTTCTCTTTTTGTGTCATTTTAACACCTTTATGATCATCCCTCGACCTTGAGAGACGATCGACTCTACCATCTGAGCCACAGCTGTCCCAGATGTTTGTCCAAATAGCAAGACATTTAAGCCCCAGATGGGAGTCAACAACCAGATGTTTAGACTGGAAATATCAGGGAAATTCTTCACTATATCTCACCAACATGACTCCCTGTTCTTTTGCTTCCAGCTTATCTTCTAGTTTAATCCTGTGTGTGAGTGGGTTTCCTGGTCCGAGAACGTCTACTCCTTTGGTCATTCATCATGTGCTGAAGTAGGATGTTTAAGATGTGGTTGAAAGCTGTGAAAAGAGAGAAATTGGACCTTTGAGATGAGTTCATTTAGGATCACAAAGTGTTTCCAAAGAGTGAAAAAAAAAAAGACATTAATGTGAAGAAGTTTGTGTTGAATCTCAGCCCCTTCGGACTAGAGTGAAACAGTAAACTGATCTCAGGTCTTTCAGCCGTGCAGAGCTCAATCTGAGGGTTAAATTAAATCCAGCAGATTAATTAAAGCGTCAGCCTCGGCCTGATCTGATTTCTAATTATTCTGTCATGGCCAATCAATGACTTCTGTAGTCCAATCAGTCGACGCCGACATGTGGAATACAGGTTCACTCGCCTGGAACCAAAAGCTGATCTGGAGTCAGGGTTCTCTTTTTTTTTTTTTTTAATCAGAACTGTTTCCAGCTCAGACAGATGGAGGCCCGAATGAGCTGCTCAAGAGCCAGAAATCAGGAGAGTGTGATCAGAGTTTTCTGACCTGAAACAGCTCACATCTGAAAGTCAACACCAACTAGGGCCCGGCCAATATGGGATTTTTTGGGATTGATACCGATGTCGATGTTAGGGTGAGAAAAATATCAGCCCAAATTATCGGCTGGGCTGATTAATCGTTCAGGCTCTAACACAAAGTTTAAACAAAGTCAATGAAAGCTGTCTAGTGTGTTACTTATGTTTTGTGAAAAAAAAAAAGTCTTTATTAATGACACCTGTGGCCTAAAATAAGGACGGCCAACTAGTTGCAGCATGAATCTGGTATTTGTTGCATCTTAAAGTGAGCAACTGAAGTTTGTTGCAAAGGCAAGCTGGCTAATTTAAGGACTGCAGAAAAAAAATCACGAATGCCGACCTGCCTCCCATACAGGGTCAGCAAGTAGCGTCACTGCAGACTCCTCACACCCTGGACTCAAACTTTTTTAAACTCCTCCCCTCCCGTATAGGCGTTACAGACACAAGAACAGTTTCCTCGCCCAGGCTGTCACTGTCATGAACGCTAAATAGTCACAGAGCGTCAGAACAGCAACTGCTGAAACCAAACTTGCACTGTGAATGTAAATATTATTTAAATTTAAAAATATCAATCTATGCACACTGCTTAATGTAAATCCTGTTAGAGTCTACCTCATGTAATCCATCCGCCACATAATAACATAGTCTATTATCATGTTTATTTCTGCATCTACTCACCACTGCACTATTGTCTTATTTAGTCTTGTACATATAAGTCTTTGTTTATTTATTTATTTATTTTTTATGTTATACCTTTGCACATAGAGAGCACAGTTCACCAAAGCCAAATTCCTCGTGTCTGTAATCATACCTGGCCAATAAAGCTGATGCTGATTCAGCAGCCCCAGGAGTCTGGATGAAGTAGATGAGGATGCATCATTTTCTATCCATCCTAGTGTTAGCTAACAAACCCAGAACAAGGTCTGTCCATGTGTTGAACGATGTGTCAGCCCGTTGTTTCCCCCCTTATGCTGCTAAATTACACGTTTTCAGAAATGATTCGTTTTTTTAAGTGGCTTCTAATTGGAGTGAATTGGCTTCCTGCTGATGTGACTTAAATGTGTTTTTGAAACACACCCTTTTTTAAAGAAATGATTGAAACAACATCAACATAAAAACATTACAACTTTGTCAATGAGAAATAAAAAGGCAGAGCTGTTTTGTTGAGTTCTAAAAGTTGATTGAGTGTCTGTGTGTGTAATTTAAACTAAATGGTAATAATCTAGCACAGTAGCAGAGAAATAAAGAGTGTGTATCTCTGGAGGGATTGTTTTCTCCTCTCAGTGTTTACAGCTCCAGCTATCTCTCCACACACACACACACACACACACACACACACACACACATACAATTACCCTGCTCCATTTTCTTCCCATGAGGCTTTGCTGCTCCACTTGCCTCTAATAGGTCCCTGAGTGTTCAGCCTTTCATTACCGAGGCCGGGATGGTCGATTCAAACGCACCTCATGGTTCCTCTGGAGGCTGAAACTCAGCGAGCAGCCGAACAACAAACCAGAGATTCTTTAAAACCCAGCAAAATCACCTCGAACTGCTGAAACTGAAAAATACAAAAGATCAGAATAAAAAAGTTCAAAGACCTGCGGGTGTCAGAAGGACAGTCCTAATATTCAGGAGTAGACTTTAATATCTTTAACAAATATATTCATACTTACCATAATGAGGTAAAGGTTAATGTCTCAAGATAATGACAGCAGAAAGGTGACAATATCAACCTTCACATTATTTCCCTGTAACTGTTGCTTTCCATATCCAGTTTTCGTCTGATCTCGACCCTGAGCCCGGGCGAGCTAACATCATATATATATATGTGTATAGTTCCTAAACAACTTGCACAATCTGCCGAAGTATTCTTCTTCATTGTGTTTTACTGGTCTGGTGCGAACTGCTTGACACAATCCCCCCCCCCCCCTACGATTTCTGCTGGCATTGCAAACTTTGGTCCGTACCCGTAAGCTTCCAGAAAACATGCAGAACTTTGGATGAAATGAACACCGGGTATGGACTCAGTATGGGCTCCATCTTTACACTTAAAGGGATACTTCACCCGTTGAAACATGATTCTGTATTGACATTGGGTCATATATGGAGTAGAAATGTGAAATACATTTTGAAGTTGGTGCCTTCTTGAATGAGAAAAGGCAGAAAGTGTCTTTCCCAGAATGCACAGCACCGCAGGCCACTCCCACTAAGGTCCTCTAGTTCAGAATCAGAATCAGAAATACTTTATTCATCCCAGAGGGAAATTTGATCGTTACAGTTTCTCCAAAATATACAGTATAGCAGTAGAAATATAGTAATAAAAACATTTACAGACATATTTACTTCAACACATACGACCATTTCCTCAACTGATTCAGAGATTTCTTCCAGAATTGATCTTGGAAATTCCTGGCAGAAAACAGACTCTTATGTCTGTGTCCATAGGCAAACAGTCAGAGCGGCGTCACTACCAGTCCACCCCAGCTCGAGCCGGCCCGGGCTCCTCGTCCTCACCGCCGCCGACAGGCAGGCATCATTGCGGCGGCCAGCAATATAGCTGCTAACTTGTGAATACTTCTAGATTCACTATTCAGGAGACTACTGGAAAAAGACAAAATTTCATTCTTTTGTCATTCTTGATGAAGTCTTTTGGTAACTATAAATAAGTACAAGAATATATTCCTTCTTCCAGGATAAAGGGTTCTTAATAACTCTCTGTCTTCCTGTGTTTTGTTTAATTATCTTGTTTTTCAGTCTGAACTTTTCAGAAATAATCTCCCCAAAAGTCTGTAAGCATTTCAACAATATTTATAACTGAATACGACGGCAAGTCCTAATTACAGTCTGGACATATGGAGCATAAAAAACATGTGTTATATTTAGACTTTTTCAACAGAAAACAATTACACAGGTTTAATCAGATTCAGGCCAGATTGGACGTAGAAGTAAAAACATGTCTGGCCTGCAAAGAACGACGACTTTGTTCTCTGTAGCATCGCTAACACAGGAAGTGCTTGGAGGGAAAACTGCTTTTAAATGACTACCTTTTAAATTCAAATGATGAGCTCACTTTGTATCCCAATGTAGCAGAAACATTATTTAATGGTTTCTTTCTTCTTTGTTAAAGGTGAATCTTTGCTTCCTGAGTCCAAATTCAGTCCACATTTTCTGACAGAAAGCACCCTAGGCATCTTTATGCGCTTTATGAGATATTATCACAGAATATCTTTCCAGAAGTGAATAAAGAAACATCAGTATTTTTGTCTTCAGACAGCAGTTTGTGTCCTCTGACTCACTCCCTGCTCCGGGCGCTGCGTCCTCCATCAAAAGAAATTAAACATTTTAAGTGTGAATTATTGATTTGACTAACTGCAGCAGAGAAAACAATCAATTATCTGTCATTATGTGTGTTTCATTGTCCCTGCTGCAGAAACCCTCAGAGACACACACACACACACACACACACACACACACACACACACACACACACACACACACACACACACTGAGGCGTTTCTGAAACGTCACATTTCTGATTTGATTATTAAACTCCTTCATCTATTTGAGGAAGGACTTTAAGAAACCAATCCTCCTGTGTGTCTACTGCATGTGTGTGTCTGTGTGTCTGATGAAACTGTTGCATTGTGGGTATTCTGACAGTGAAGTTAATGGAGGAGTGTGAGTCGCGCTCGCCCTTCATCACACACTCTTTGTTCTTTTTAAAGAGGGAAACTGATACAGACAGCAGAAGGTGATGAAGAGAGTTTATAATCGTCCAGATCGGAACTCTCCCA